GGGGCGAAAAAGCCCGGTGGCGGGGGGTAGTGTTTGAGGCAGTGTCACATTTTAATTTGGATAGAAATTTGGCGGCAGGGGGAGGTTTCTCATGAAAAATGTTTGTTTTAGGGGTTTTCCCCCTTTCTTCGGAGAGGGTAGAAGGAGAAAACCAGTATTTTTAGTTCATCTGGAAAATCCCATGGAAAATGTGGAAGGAAACTCATTGGGAGAAATGTCTTGTTTTTTCCCACCCACCCCAAAAAAGCGAATGAATTTTGTAAAGCTCCAGCTGACATTTTGCATGGGAAATACACACGCTTGGTTGTTAGGAGTGGGGAGGAATAAAACAGCTTTCAACGGGGGCAGAAGAAGCTGCCCTGAGCCCCTGTTATTCCTACCCCCACCTCCTCCCTGGGCTCAACCCGTCTCTGCGGCTCAGCCCAGACGACCCCTGATCCATGATGCACACCCCCAAGGGGAGGCCGCTGGAGGGGTGTGTGCATGATGCTACCACCCCATTTCGGGGAGTCTCTCCCTGGGATTGCTGACACCTTTCCCATCCCTTTGGGTCTCGCCTACTGCCCTGGTGATGCCTTGCATGGTTCCCTCCAGTCCCCCCAGCCCCTGTGTCCCATGCGCCCCACGCCAGCATCCCTGCCCCACATGGGCACAGCAGATCCAGGCCAGCACCGTCCCTAGAGAACCCACCATTGGTAAACACGGTGCCGTTGCCACAGGTTCCTGGAGGAGGAGTCGTGTGCGGGGGAGCCCCGGCAGTACCGCGTGTGCAAGCGACACGTGAGTGTGCCCCGGAACAACGGGGACAGGCGTGGGGGAGGGGTGCCCGTGAACCGGTTCAAATCCGCATGATATTCCCCCTTCCCCAGTGCCACAACATCATGGAGCTGCCTGCTCCGAGCCAGGCAGCCGGTTCCTGGCTCTGCCGCTGGCCTCTTCGTGCCTCAGTTTCTCCATCTGCTCATGTGAACTTTGCAGCCCCATGTGGGGTGGCTGCCAGTGTCTGGCCCCTTCTCCCCACCCCCTGGCCCTTTGGAGGGTTGCTCGTCGCTTCCATCGCTGGATCGCGTCTTGGGGGCAGACCCTTTGTGCCCCTCTCCGAACTGTGGGTGGTTCCCACGTCCTCCAGGCCAGCCCCTCCGCTGTTCCGGTCTCGAGACGCCCGTCTCGCCCGACTCCCAGGGAGATCAGAGCCCAGACAGCTAAACCAGCGTGCCCGGCGCAGCATTCTCTGATTCTTGGCCGCCTCCTCCCCGCCTGCCTCAGGGACAGGTGCCTTTGCCGGGTGCTTTGTGACCTGCCCACCGATCTCTGCCAGGTGGGACGGCAGTTCCTTGCCATGCCCACCGGCCAAGGCACGGCACAGCTCGGGGAGGCTGCAGCTTGTGCCCTTCCCTTGCAGGAGTGTCCGGCCAGCGCGGTGCCCTTCCGGGCCATGCAGTGCTCCCTGTACGACGGGAAACCCATCCTGGGCAGCCAGGCCAGGTACCGGTGGGTTCCTTTTCACGGAGGTGAGTCCTGGGTTCAAATCCACCGCCCTACCCCCGCTGCCTTTCAGCCTGTGGGCCCTACCCCAGCTCCACTTGCTGACCGGCAGGGCCCGCGGGGTTCCTGATGTGCCCCCCACACTGGACGCACCCCCTGCCTGCAGCCCGTAGTTCCCAGGGGCCGGCCCAGGTGCACGCCCCATTGGACGGCTCTTCTGGTAGCGGAGAAAAGCTGTTCCACGCGGGGTGCTGGGGGGGGACACGACCAGTGTTCCCTGAAAGCTGAGTGCTGGGGCAGCTGTCCAGGAGAGATTTAAATGCCCCCCCCCCGGCTGATTAGCAGAGTGCCCCCCGCCAGCAGCATGTGTTTCTCATGCTGGTGCACAGCAGCATGTCCCTCTGTGCACAGCACAAAATTTATTCTGCACGCGGATGGGAAAATTAGAGGGAACATTGGGCACGACTTTGGTCGTTGGGACGAGGGTCCGTGCTGTACATAACCCCACGCTCCTCCCCACGCTCTCCTCTTAATCTCGCTCTCTCCTTCCCTCCGCCTCTCGTCCCCCGCTCTCCCCCAGCACCCAACCTCTGTGACCTGAACTGCCTGGCCGTGGGGCACAATTTCTACTACACCTTCGGCCGGGTGCTGGACGGGACCCGCTGCAGCCTGCCCTCCCCGGGGTTCTGCATCAGCGGCCAATGCCTGGTAGGTCCCACTGCTGCTGCGGGACATGGGGCGTGTGGGAGACCGGGCCTGGTACCCAAGGGGCTGACATCGCCATGGCGACGAGGGATGCTTGCGAGGGCTT